GGTAGCGGGGGAGGAAGATGCTGAGGGGGGTCCTTTAGTTTGGGGTAGGGTTGGACAGGGAGTGTCTGGGCGAAGGATGCTGTCGGGGGCTCCCCACACTGCGGACTCAGCTCTCACCTGCTTCTCCCCACACCCAGCGAGCCCTGCGGCTTTGAGCCCACGTACCAGGAGCTGGCGAGCGCCGTGAAGGAGGAGTACCCCGACATCGAGATCGAGTCCAGGCTGGGGGGCACAGGTAAGGGCCTGTGGCAGCTGGCGCCATGCAGGGGTCACTCCTGGGGTATGCTGCAGTTGGGGTGACCCCGGCCTGCCCCCGCTGCAGTGCTGGGTGTCAGCCCTGTCTTTGGGGAGGGCAGAGGGGCTGAGCTGGTTTAAACTTTGTGGTGAGGCTGGGGGCGTTGTGCCCCAGTTGTCTGAGTGCTGCATATCACAGGGGCTACCCCTCACCGGGGTCTTGTTGGGTGCAGAGACTCTGGAGCCTGGGGGTCTGCCAGGAGCAGGGCAGGAGCCCCCTGAGCTCTCCAGGGGTGCACTGCGTGCTCTGCCAGCCCGGTCCTGTCACCAGGGGTACGGTCCGGTGGGTCTGGGGGTACCACCGTGTTGTTTCTGCCTCCTGGATGCTTGCGCCAGGGTTTGGTGTGGCAGGATCAGCTGCAGGATGGGCATGGGGGTTGATGGCACTGCACGGGGCAGGAGCATGGCTTACAGCTTGGTCCTGTGTGCTTTTAAGGTGCCTTCGAGATAGAGATCAACGGGCAGCTGGTCTTTTCCAAGCTGGAGAACGGAGGTTTTCCCTACGAGAAGGACGTAAGTACCTGGCACCGCAGGGTCCTTGCGTCAGCCAGGCTGGTGGCCGTGGGGAGGTTTGTTTTTGCAGCAAGCTCCCCTGTGACCGCTTTTTCTCTCAACATCTCCATTTCATCAACCGCCAGCTCTGCCCGAGCTCCGGTGAAGCCTCACAATCCCATCGGGCGTTGTTCCCCTTCCTGCCGGGACCCACTTCACATCCCGCTGTGGTACGGTGCGAGCCTGAGCCACTGCTCGTGTGGGTAGAGGGGGGGGAAGGTTCCTGGAGCTTCTTCTTCGGCATGGCCGTGATTTGGGCCCGTGGCACTGCCTGACCTCCATGTGTTGTGTCCAAGTGCTCCTGACCATCGCGTGTCCCCCCCAGTGTGCGCCTTCCGCCACCAGACCTTGTGGCGAGGGTGGCCCAGAGCGTGACCCCCCTCCCCTCTGTCTCCTCAGCTGATCGAAGCGATTCGCAGAGCGAGGAATGGGGAACCGCTGGAGAAGATCACCAACAGCCGCCCCCCCTGCGTCATCCTGTAGCCCTGCACCCAGCTGGGATCTCCCAGTGCCCTCGGCGTCCCCCCGCTTTGCTCCTTACTGCCTTCGTTAGCTTCCTGTATGACTGGGGATGGCGGGGGAGACCGGGGATGTCGAAGGAATGCGAGAGCGTAAGGAGCCTCCTAGGGAATGCCACCACTGCAGCACTGGGGGCGAGAGCTGGGATGGGCAGAGCTGTGGTACTGGTGTCACTGAGCCGGCTGTGCTGGGGGGGGCAGTTCTGGCCCATCTCTTTGGGTCGTGTGCCTGACCTGCTGTGGGGTGTAGCTGCGGCCTGGCGTGGCTCCCCTGCCTGCCTTTGCCTTCCCCCTTCCTCTGCATTTGCCTCCCCCCATGCCCAGCAGTGCAGGGGGGTTCTCCTCTCCCTCAGCCTCTGGGGATTTGGGGGCCCCCCATGAACGCTCTGCCCAGCCCTTGGGGGAGCCAGGTTGCACATTGAAGGGAACTTTGCAGCTCCAGACCTTCCAGCAGGTTAATGCAGAGAAAAAAACCACTCGCTGTAAACTTTAGCGTGATTTGTTAATGATTAAAGTCTCTCCTGTCACTGTTTAAACCAGTGCAAGGGCAGCGGGGACCGGCTGCCCCGGCTGGGCATGGGAACCCCGGCTTGGCTCCGTCCCCACGGCCAAGAGGTTTATTTAACGGCTGTGAGCTTCCCCCACCTCCCCGTTCTCAGGCTGTTGGCTCTGGCTTTCCACTTGTAATGACTCTGCCCTTCGCCACGGGGTGGCTGAGTTGGCGGAGGGGTCCCCTATTTATTCTATACTGTGTATAAACCCAACAGCCCAGTGCTGAATAAAGAACAGAGGAGAACGTGGCCCCTCTTGTGTCCCTTGACTACAGGGGTGGGACACGGGCACTGAGGCGCAAAAGTGGGGTTGGATCAGGTCCCGTCTCCTGCCTGCCCTGCCCTTGGTCGGCAGCCAGGCAGGATCAGGACTTTTACCCTCCAGGTAAGCAGGTCCTGCCCTTCGCTGCCTCCTCGGGTGGTGGCAGCTGAGGCCAGGAGGGAAGGGACACAATGGTCCCCGGGAGCTGTGCCAGCACTGGAGAAGGGGAAATCACACAGACAAGAGGAGTAGAAAAAAAAAAAAAAAAACAATGTACAATTATCAAATATACATCTCGGTGCGATACAGTCGGCTTCAAAAGAATCCAGGAGGAGCCAGGACACGAGCCCAGTGTCCGCCTGCTCTCAGTGCAAGTCCGTGTGTCCCGGCGCAACTGGGGTGCCGGGGGAGGAGGGCAGTGGTGGCGGTGACATTCATGGGATGAGCCGGACCGGGACAGCCCTGGAGAGGCAGTTGGTGATGGAGGAGCCTTTGGGGTGATGGTGGCGGGCTGTCCTTCTCCGGGCCGTGCTGGGGCCGAGCTCCCTGGGCTGCTCCCAGTCACAATCTGAGCACCATCTGGCTCAGCGCAGCTTGCAGGTCACCCACGCCGATGCCCAGCTCTGGGGGGGGGCCCAGGGTGACCTCTCTCTGTCCCCCCACTTGCTGCCGCGCTGTCCTACAGCGTCCTGAGCTCTCCCAGCCCTCCGTGGCTGGTGTCACCCCACGGCGTTAGGGGCAGAGGGGCCAGCCGCTGGCCCCGCGTCCGCGGCTCACCGCATGCTGTCCCTCCCCAACCTGCCTCGGCAGAGTCGGTGTGTGCGGCGGGGGGGGTCTCTCCACAGCTCGGCCCTACGCGGCCGTGTCGTCAGGTCCGGCCAGGCCGAGGTACTCGGGATTCTCGGCTGTGGACGTCGTGCTGGGGCCGCCCTCAGGACCACCGGTCTTGGGGGGGTCCTGGTTCCAGTAGTAGGGGTTGTCGAAGGCCTGGCTGAAGGGGCTGGGGACAGGCGGGCCAGGGGGTGCCAGGTACTCGGGGTTCTCCACAGCATGGCCGAAGGGTCCCGGGAAAGGGTGCTTGGCTTCCTTGATGAGCCCGTTCTTACCCTGGTGCCCTTTGGGCTTGTCTGGCGGGGATGGGGGTGCACGGGGGTGCCGGGGTGGGGACCGCCGCTCCCCGGCCTGATTCACGTACTCTGCAGGGTCGAGGGATGAGTTAGGGAACACCGCGGCTGGGCTGGGTGATGGGGTGGGCAGGCAGCCCCCACATCCCGCAGGGTCCCCCCGTCCCCTCCTACCTGGCATGACGGTGCGGGGGGCCGGGGCAGTGAAGCCCTCGGGGTCCAGGCCCTCGCTCTCCTCGGCCGTCAGCCCGGTGGGATCCTCGCTGTACCGTGGCAGGGTGCTGGGCTCCCGCACCGACGGGCTCTGCAGGGCCGCCTTGACGCCGCCGTCCCCCTCTGGCACCTCCGGCACGGGGCTCTCCGGACCCTCTGCCAGGCCCTGGGGGGGGAAGGGGAAGGCGGCCAAGCCCTCGCCCTCCTCCACGTCGGCCGGGGTCTCCGCCGTGCTCTGGGTGCAGGAGAAGGCACAGAGTCGGGCACTCACAGCCCACACTGAGGACGCTGTCCTGGTGCCCGCAGACGGGGTCTCAAGACAGTGCATGGGGGGCTTTGCACCCCACATCTCTCCAGCACTGACACGGCTGCAGCCTTGCCCTGGGCTGCCCCAGCACCGGGTCACCCCCCACCTCTGCCAGGAAAGGGGGGCTCCTGCTTGACCCCCCCCTTTCCGCATCCCACCTACCCGTGTGGAGGAGATGCGGCTGCGGTAGGTGGTGGAGGTCTCGGCGCTGAAGAAGCCCTGGTGAGGGACCAGGTACTCCTCAGCATCAACCAGGTCATCCATGTCCTCCTCCTCAAGCAGGGCCCGGTAGAAGGTGCTGTCGATGGAGCCGGGCAGCCCGACCATGTCGTTCTAGGGGTGAGGGCAGCGGTCAGTGCTTGCACCGAGGTGCCGGCAGGGTGACAGGACCCCCGGGGACCTGCGTACCTGGATGACCACAAAGCGCTGGGGGTCCCGGGCCATGCGGGAGAACTCGGTGACCAGCTCCCGAAACTTGGGCCGACACTCGGAGTCGATCATCCAGCCTGGGGCAGAGCCGGGCACCGTAAGGGCCGGGAATGAGGTGCTACCGTGGCACCCTGTCCCCGTGCCGTGTCCTTGTCCCCCTCCCCGTACATTTCACCATGATCATGTAGACGTCAATGGTGCAGATGGGCGGCTGCGGCAGCCTCTCGCCCTTCTCCAGCAGGTCGGGGATCTCCCGGGCAGGGATGCCGTCATAGGGTTTCGCCCCGAAGGTCATCAGCTCCCACACGGTGACACCTGGGGGGGGACGGGGACAGGGGTGAGTGATGCCCCGGGCCCCACTGCGCACCCCCCACAGTCCCCAGCCCAGGGACGGGGCCACCCCGACATACCGTAGCTCCAGACATCGCTCTGGTGCGTGAAGCGCCGGCGGAGGATGGACTCCAGCGCCATCCACTTGATGGGGACCTGGGACAGGGAGGACAGAGAAGTGAGCAGGATTTGGCCGGGGGGGGGGGTCTGCTTGTCCCTGAGGGGGAGCATCATGGTCCCATCACTCTGTCCCTGCATCCGCAAGCCCCACCTTGCCGCCGTCAGCGTGGTACTCGGTCTCATCGATGTCGAGCAGCCGGGCCAGCCCAAAGTCGGTGATCTTGACGTGGTTGGGGCTCTTGACGAGGACATTGCGAGCAGCCAGGTCCCGGTGCACCAGCCGCACCTCCTCCAAGTAACTCATCCCCTGGGGGTGGCATGTGTCAGGCTGGCTCCGTCCCCCCCTCCCACCGTGACACCCCCCCACCCAGGTCCCCCTAGACCCCCCCCCGTCCTACCTTGGCGATCTGCACACACCAGTTGAGCAGGTCCTGGGAGCCGATGCGGTCCTTGTTCTCCCGCACATAGTCCAGAAGGCAGCCGTAGGGCATCAGCTGTGTCACCAGCTGTACCGTGGAGGTCAGGCAGATGCCCAGCAGCCGGGACACGTAGGGGCTGCCCACCCCTGCCATCACGTAAGCCTCCTGCAGCAGGGTTGGGGGGGGGCGGTCAGGCTGGATGGGGGCTACCGCCGGCACCGCTCACCCACCAGCACCGCTGGCACACTCACGTCCAGGATTTCCTTGTTGGCTTTGGGCGACGTGTTCTCTCGCAAGACCTTGATGGCCACTGGGATCTTCACACTCTCCCCGTCGGGGATCCAGATGCCCTGAGGGAGGGGGAACATGGGTGAAGGGGTGCGGAGAGGGGAAGGTCCCACCCCGCTGGCGGCGGCACCCCCCACCCCTCACCTTGTAGACGGTGCCGAAAGCGCCGGAGCCTAAGACTTTCACTTTTTTGAGCTCCGTCTCTTTCAAGATCCGCATCTGAGCCTGGTTGGGGAGGGCCCCGCTGGGCGTCAACGGCTCCACCAGCTGCGGGGCACAGACGGGTGAGGGGGGGCCGGGGCTGGGCTCCTGGCACCCCCCCGGCACCAGGGATCCATCCCCCTCTGGAAGAGCCGCAAGTCCCAGCGTCCCCACCTCGGTCTCCTGCAGCAGGCGCCGCATGGTGTGCTTCCGCTCCTGCTGCCGCCGGCGCTTGACGCAGACGACGGTGATGAGCAGGAGGACGACAACCAGCAGAGCCCCCACCACGCCGGCGATGATGGACGTCACCTGGCTGCGAGATAGGACGTGACTGGGGTGGGGGAGATGGTGACAGGGTAGGGGTCCCGGCTGGAGGACCCCCCCCTCCCAGCGCTCAGAGGGGTGGGAATCAGGGTGGCACCGGGCACCCGCGCTCGTACCTTGGCTTCTGGTCCACGGGACAGCCGTCCTCATCCCGGATTGTGCACCTGGGGACAGAGTGTGCAGCAGCAGCCCCCCCGTCAGCGGCACGCCGCGACCCCCTGCCCATGCCCGGCCGGACCCCACCAACCCCCCCAAGACTCACGAGTGGGTGCAGTTGGTGGGGCAGAGCTGGCAGACGCCGTCTTCGTCCGGGTACTTCCAGACGGGCACAAAGGAGGCGTCCGCCTTCACCCCGCTGGGGCAGCGCCGCACGCACTGCTGCGCGTCCTTGTAGTGGGCGCAAGCCACGCACTGGGCTTCCCCCTGGGGGGGGGGGGGGGGGGGGGGGGGTTGTAAGGGACACAGGGGTCCAGGGCCACCCCCCCACATCCCTCCCCATCCTCACCGATCCGAAGCAGGTCTCGGTGCCGTTCTGGGGTTGGCACTCGGGGTGACAGGGCAGGCACCGCGTCCCGTTGGCGTGCTCCCGGACGGCTCTGCAGGGCGAAGGGACCATGGGGTGGGTGCAGTGATGGGGTCCCGGACCCCCTGCAGCGGGGGGGTGGGGGGGCTCTGCCCGCCATCCCCGGTGCTCGCCGCTCACCCGTCCAGGAGGTTGCAGGAGGCGACGCACTCCTGGCCGCGCAGGAACCGCTCACAGGTGACGCACTGGGTTGGACCGGGGCCCCAGCAGTGCCCGTGGGCACAGAGGTGGAAGCAGACCAGCCCCTCGCTCTCTGCAGGGGAGCACCGTGAGCGACGGCGGGGGGGGTGTCCGCCAGCTCCCCCCCCCCC